ATTTTCTAACTATAATTTGAAACTACAATTAAGTCTTACAATAATAAGATATATGTACTCTAGATATTATTATATTATACATCAATAAGCTTCTTATTATTATCAATATGTGTGTCCTTCAATGTTGTATTATCATTTTTTCATTAGGAAGTTGTTAAAACAAGATGTTCAACTAAAGTTAATCAAATTCCCTTTAACAACATATGAACCTAACAAAGGTTCACCAAACATTCTTAAATATCCACTTATAACACTTATAATTGGCTCTCCATTAATTAGAAGACTTAGTTGCAATACCATATCTTCTAAAGTTTGTGGCTTCTCCAATGAAAAATAAAATGTTTGAATTTTTGTTTTCCAACTTTCAACTAGTATGGTGATCAAATGATGATAGACATTCACATTTGTAATAATAAGCATTTCTTGTTGTATTTACCCAGGTCATCTAGAATAAAATAATCTTTCTTTCCTTTTTATAATACATTTGTTACATAAATGTGTAATAAAACGTATATAAAAGAGATGGCAGTAGAATGTTATTCCTGTGTTACAAAATTTATAATAAAATTAAATAGAATACATAAAAGTAAAATAAATATAAATAAAATCATATGTAAATAACAAAATAAAAAAATTATAAAAAGTGTTTCTAATATTTTATATAACATAATTTATTTAAATATTATAATAAAAATTTTATGTTATAAACTATTATATAATTTATTTAAAATATTTTTCATATTATGACATTTAAAATATATTTTTTTATTGATATAAACTTATTTGAAGTTATAAATACTTTAGTTTATTTTTTTAATATTATTTCTTTCTACAAATATTTATGGATAAACATAATCACAAATTAAATAAGAAAGCCTTTTGTTTCCTTTTTATTGGTTGAAGTTAATTAAAAAAAAAACAAATTGTGAGAAATTACTCAATTCATTATAATATTTTTGTACTTTTTTTTAAAAGCTCCTTTCTTATGTAAGTATATATATTTTTTAAATTGAAGCCATATTATAATAATAAACACAAAAATTAACATATAAAAAAAATTATGCGTAAATAACATCACAAAACTCACCAGTTATTAAAGTTTGGAGCAGATATGAAAAAAAGTTAATAACTCCAAAAATGGAAATTAAATCTGAAAATACCAATACAAAATGGAAGGATAAAAATAAAAATACTAACAAAAAACTATAATAAATATTCATTAATTAAAATCTAAAACAATGTATTTAAATCTTACAATAAAAAAATTATTATATAAATAAAAAATATATGTAAAATAATATCATCAAATTTATCAATATCAAATTTCAAATAATAATATTATATTATATTATATTATATTACATATATATATATATAATATTGTTATACATATGGATTTATTATAATAGACAATAAAAATAAAATATAATAAGAATGTAATATAATATAAATATGTATTTTTTATTTTATATATTAATATATAATAAAAAAGTATTTAAATACATAAAAACACAGTATATAAAATAAAATAATAAATATACCTTATCTAATACTCAAAATCAAAATCTAAAAATGTGATTGTACAACTCACAACCCAATTTTAAATAATATAAAAAAACTCACCAACTATTAAACTTAGAACATAGTTGAAGTCAACAATTCCAAAAACGAAAATTAAATCTGAAAATAATAGAAGAATAATAAAAATAAAATATATAATAAAAAATTATAATACTAACAAAATTTATAATAACAAACAAGAAATTAATATATAAATAAAACAAATACATATAAAATAATATCACCAAACTCATCAATATTAAATTTTAAGATGATTATCCCAAAATTAAAAATTTAAAAATAAAAATAAATATTGATAATATAACATATAATATATATATATATATATAAAATATAATATAATATTGTTATACATATGTATTTATTACAATAAAATAAAATATAACAAAAACTGAATATAATATAAATATGTATTTATTAAATAAAATGTAATATATAACAAATTTTAATATAAATATGTAACTTTTTATTTTATCAGAGAATATAATATATAATAAAAAGTATTCATATACATTAACAAAATAGTGTACAAAATAAAAAAAATAATACCTTATTTAACCACCAAAATTAGAATCTAAGACGTGATTAAACAACTCACGACACAATTTTAGATAAATATAAGTGAAAGAAGAAGTAATAAAAAGAATGAAAAAAAAAATACAAATGAGATATGAATTATTCATGCTCAATTATTCAAATTTTAATTTCAAATATTTTATACCCACATTCCCGTTCAACGCTTCCTCTAATGCACAGTGTTTTTCCATACTGCCAACACCAATATCTATGTTTTGCCAGTTTGATCACGAGTACAAATAATGAAATCTATTTAAGGGTGAAAATAGTAAAATGGGTTTCGAATATTAAAGTGAATTCATTTTTGGATCGAGTGAATTGGTAGAGTCTTTTGGGCTAATGTTCCAAGTTAGATTCAGCAAAATATAACTCTATCTGGGTTTGAGGTGAAAATAGTAAAAATGGACTTCAAAAAGTAAAATCAATCTAAAATGATTTTTTAGTTATTGGGTCTAATTTTTTTTTTTCTTTTGTTAAACTTGAGACAATATAACAACAATAATTTACAAATAATAATAGGTCCAAAAAAAGTATTTATTATTAGTAACACAAACAAATAAATTAAAATAGGTTATTTACAAATATTTTTAAGAAAGAATTACGTCACTCGATTTTTTATTGTACGTGGGGATATGTAGAAATAGAGAGATAATCTTTGTCGAGCCAAAAATATAAAAATACATAATTTTTTAATTTTTTAGTAACAACATTCAATGGATATATAATTTTGAGGGATAAAATAAATAATTTTAAGATATTTAACTTTTCACATCTAATTAAAGGTAATTGTTTTCTAAAACGGATGTTGTAGGGTGTTAATATTTTCCCTACACATAATCGGCTCCCGGATTCAACTTATGTTTCACAAACCATTCTTTTTTCTTATGAAGGTTTTTTCTGATATTTTCTTTAAAACAAATATTGGTGGTGACTCCATTATTTTCTTTCATTTAGAAACTTATTTTTGTCGGTCAGTCATGATTTTAGTTACGACATTGCTTAATACTCTTTTAAGTTTGATAATGGTTGTTTTAGTTTGTTTAAACATATTTGTATGATTGGATTTGGTACACTTTATGATGGTTTATATAAATTGAATTTGGATGATTTATATGTTGAAACTATTATGATTTTGCATCACAATGTTAGTACTAAACGTAGTTCAGTGGATGAACAATCTGTTTACTTGTAGCGTAAGCGTTTGAGACACATTTTCAAAGAAAGAATGCAAAGATTAGTAAAAAATAAAATTCTTCTGAATTTAGATTTTACTGATCTGAATATATGTATGGATTATATTAAAGACAAACAAACAAAACATACAAAAAAAGGAATCACAAGAAGCACTTAACTTCTTGAAATCATACACAATGATATATGTGATCCATTTGATGTAAATTTTTTCAATAAAAATAAGTATTGCATCACCTTCATTGATGCTTTCTAGCATTATAGACATGTTTATTTATTGCAATGTCCAAAGAATGACTTGGAATGGAAACAAATGGAAAATATTCCTTATACTTTTGTTGTTGGGAGTTTATGTATACTCAAACATGTACGAAGTCAAATATTAGCTTTATAATTGGTATGTTGGATAGATACCAGTGTAATCTTGGACTAGATAATTGGAAAACTGCAAAGAAAGTCTTAAGAGACAAAGAACAAAGAACCACATGCTTACTTATAGGAAATTTGATCACCTTGAGGTGATTAGATATATAAATTCAGATTTTGTCGATTGTATTGATGCACAAAAATCTACATTTGGTTATGTGTATCTTTTAGTCGGAGGAGTGATTTCATAGAAAAGTGTGAAGCAGTCCGGCATAATTGTATGCTTCGAGGCCACAGTTCAGACTAATTAGTTGCAAAATCTTATTTTTAGGACTTGGGATAGTCGACAACATTGTTAAGTCGCTGAAAATTTATTGTGATAATTTTGCATTTTAAAAACAATTAACATTGATCTTATGACCGCTAAACTTTTAACAAAAGAGTTACCGCCCAGATTGTTTGTTGGTCATGTAGAGAATATGAGCATTATGTTTACTAGTGAATATTGAATGCTAATATTATTATTATTAATACTTATGTGATACTATGAAATCTTTAATATAAAAGTTTTTTAAATTTGTGTTTTCTTCTTTATTTATATGCATGCAAATTATGATGAAATAAACAAATTATGTTATTGTTATTGAAAATAACATTGTGTTTGAACTCATTATGGACCTCTTATTGTAAAATCATATTAAGAATAAAGGATAATAAAGTAATACATGATGTCAATTGAATGATATATAACTATCATGACTCTTATTATTTATGTATATTTAATTATAAATAATTAAGAAATCAATTTATGTAAAATCCTTTAACACATATTCTGATTTATGTATTAAATCACAAAATATTATGATAGTATAAGAGAATGTTAGAATTAATTCAATTACGTGATTTATGTGAAATATAATAATAAATCCTATAATTTAATAAAATAAAGTATCTATTAATTATTAGGAAAAATCATAATAAAATAAAAAATTTTAAGATAACTAACTTGATATTCGATTAATTAAAAAAAAGAGATTAAGATTTTGTGTCTAAAAAACAAAGAAATAAATTAAAAAATATATCCTCATTAAATTGTTAGTATGAATATTAGTATCCTATTATGATTTAATGTATGTTAATATGTCATAATCATCCTATTATGATTTAATATTTAATGTAGGTTAATAAGCCATAATCATAAATCTTAATATCATAAATTAATTTTCTTTGAATTGAATTAGGAAGATAACAAAAACTGCAAATTAATTGAGAGCGAAGGGCATGGGATGCGCGGAGAGCGAGTAGGTGGGAGTTTGGGTGATTTGGATAATGGTGAAAGTGAGGGTGCGGGGAAAATTGAGCACCAAGGGAGGGGCGCCAATTGTGAACGGAGAGAATGGTGGAGGTGGGTGAGGTTGCGTGACAGTGGGAGGCAGGGAGAGAATGAGAAGATGGTGAGTGTGGGTGAGAATGAAGGTGAGGTAACCACGGGGCTAGGAGAAGAAAATGGGCCAAGGAACACCACACGGGAAAAACTAAGTTGTAACGCGCCCCCTTCCATTCTCCTCCTTCGTCTCTATTCAATTCTCTCTTGAAGGAATTTTTTAGGGTAAAATTCATCGATTGGGTCAACCCAGATTAAAAGGAGAAGAAAAAAAAATTAAAATATAATTGGAAATATTTTTTTTCTTTATATGTATCTATATATATATATATAATATGTAAAATATAAAAAGAATTATTATTAATTTTTTTTTAAGAAATTATTTTAATTTTATTATTATTATTATTATTATTATTATTATTATTTTCCTTTCATTTTTGTTTATAATATATTTTTTCTTCTCTTTTTTCCTTTTTATTTTTTTCTTTTTGTTTTTGAATTTGTTTATTTTAAACCAAAATGCTAAGAAAAAGAAACTATCTTTTCTTTTCATATTTTGAAATCTTTTCTTTTCTTTTTTTTTCTTTTTCAAGTTTTAAAAATAATGTAAAATATTAAGAAAAATAAACTTTTTTTTCATTTTTTTAATATTTTTAAAATAAATGTTATTATTTATTATTATTTTTTATATTGGATAAAATTGAGTGCTGATAAATATTAAATAAATTTATCCGAATATATATATATATATATATATATATATATATATATAAAAAGAAGATTGATGTAAAATTAGAATTAAAAAAGAAAAACTACTTCCTTCTATTATCGTATTATTTACATGATATTTTACTCAAATTACTTTTTATAATAATTATTAATTTAATAGATATAAAAGATAATTGTACTTTTTTTTCATCTTTATAGGATGATTGAGAAATAATAAATATAAAAAAGTAAAAATATTTTAAATTTCTTATATTTATATTAATTTAAAAATAACATAAAAAGTTTAATAGAGTCGATATTAAAAATATTTTTTACATTAGTGATAAATAAGATAATTTTGAAGTTTTAATGGGGGAAAACTTTCGAGTTGGTAGTAACGCATTTCTACTCTCTTAGCATTTTTATTTTCTTAGACATATATAAAGGGATTTCTGCTCTTACAACTACCAAACCCTCTTAGATATGTATGAAGTGACTTCTACTCTTACAACTATCAAACCTGACTTCAATACTCCTACTAAACAAATTGAAGATATGGTTCATTTGAACAAGGTATGTCGACACACTTTGCTTAGTGTATTGTCTAATGATTTTTTCGATGTGTATTGTTCTTATAAGGAAGCCAAAGATATTTGAGATTCATTGATAAGGAAGCCAAAAATATTTGAGATTCATTGATAAGGAGTCAAAGATATTTGGGATTCATTGATAAGGAAGTCAAAAATATGGGATTCGTGAGACAGAGGTTCGTTATTGGAAACTACTACCGTTGGTAGATACTAGAAGACAAGGATATCAAGATCCAGATCAACGAGTACCATAAACTGCTTGAAGATATTAAAGCCAAAAACATAGTCCTACCTGAGGTGAATGTGTCATTATATGGCTTTAATATCTTAAAGTAGTTTACGTTGATCTGGATCTTGATGTCCTTGTCTTCTAACATCTTCTAGCATTAGTAGTTTCCAATAACGAACATTTACTTAATGACATCTTCGACAGTGTATTTGAGAATCAATGAATCCTAAATATCTTTGGTTTCCTTATAGGGAGGATACACATCGAACAAATCATTAGACAATGCACTAAGCAAAGTGTGTCGACATACCTTGTTTGAATCAACTCAATCATCAATTTGTTTAGCAGGTGTACGTGAGTAAGATTTGATAGTTATAAGAGTAGAAATCACTTCATACATGTCTAAGAGAGTAGAAATGTGTTTCTGCTAGCCTCAGAAGTTTTGCCTAGTGAAAACTTCAATTTTTGAAACTTTCGGAAACGGTTTCGCAAAGACAGTTTGAGTTCTGAAAATATTATTTATCTTTTCCGCTGTGGAGGAGTTGTTGGTATCTCCAACCTGTCAACCATAAGTCTTTACGATTGTTGTAAAACTAGCAAGAAACTCTTAAAGCGCAAGTCCCCCAAGATACAACAGGAACCTTTTAGAATTTTCGAAGATCTCAGAAACTAATAAGAAACTCTTAAAAGTATAAGTAAACCCAGAATAATAATAGAATAGGAAGAAAAATAGAGAAAAAAAGATAAAAGAGGTATGTTTTTGGATAAGTGTAAAGTAGTCTCTATTTATAAGTGTAAATTAAGTCCAAAATCTTAATTACCTACTTCCAAAAAAATCCATCCATAACTATCTCACCCCTAATAATTAGGAAGTATAATGAGATAATGAAAAAAAAATGTAATAATTAAAGGAAGCCTTAGTAGTAAATCTACGACAGTGAGTTTCTTATTTTTCTGGAATATAATGTCATACCAGTTATTTTATGTGGGTTTCTTAATTTTCAGCACAATGTCATAACAGTTATTTTATGTAGAAAAGAAAATATAAAAAATACTCTTTTTTTCTCATTCCCGAGTTCCTCTCCTCACCTTCCACCTAAGGTCTGAATCTCCTTCTATATTATTTTAAAATAAGCATAGAAATTTTGCTTGCATGTTTGTCTCTCTATTTAGATAATATTAAATTAAAATAATAATTATTAAAGCCGGTATTATAATAATAAATTTTATGTTTGTTATATTGTCCTGATCATCAGATAAGATACAAAAAAAAAAAACTTTTGATAATTTGTTTGTATTGTTTTAGCTTTTCAAATCATATTTTAGTTTTATATCAAAACACACCCTAAACACTAAATTTCACTTTCATAGGACGAAATAATCTTTATTGGTATTATCATTTATTTGCTTGTCCATTTAAAGAAAAAAATGATTTTACCATTTAAATTTGTTCATAGGACAGAAGTTTAAATTTGATTTGCTGATGCTTTTAAAGAATATTTTTTAATTGAGACTTTTAAAGTCGAAAAATAAACTTCTTATCAAAAGCATCTAAGAAGAGCTTTTGTTATAAATGTCGAATAATCTTGAAATTATTGAAAAAAAAATTCTTTCTAAGAAAAAAATTAAAATAATTAGTATAATAGAAACATATTTCTGTTTTATTAATTTTATGTAACAAAAACATGATATAGAAGAAAAATTGCTAAAAAAATTCACAAAACCATTCAAATAATATAAGTATATTTTGGTTGCATTAAAAGAAAAATAAATAAGAAGAGATGAAAATAAGAAAAACCAAGCTATTTGTAACGCTTTCTTTTATGATTGGGTTAACCAAAGCCCATTGTGGGCCTCCAACTTCATAAAAATTCCCTTGCCAGTTAAATTACAAAAGCATTAACTAATGTCACAGAATTGCAATACTAAAGATTGTGCAAATATAAAACAGTGCATATATCCATTTATGTATTATACCATTTTTCTTGTTACGCCCCACTTTTCTATAAAATAAAGTGTTTTTTTACTCTAATATTATGTGCTCTAAGATTAAAGTTGATAAATCTATGATTTCATACAATATTTAAACTGGAAAAACTTAAACTATAGTAAGAAAAAGTCAATAACAAGACTAAAGAAATATTTTCCAAGTAATATATATATATAACTTATTTCAAAATACAATCAAAGAACAATTGGTACCTGTAAAATGAGGGAAACACCAATAATGTGTGTGGTAATAGTAAGAAGAGAAAACAGAGGATGACTTTGTTTGTGTTTCTTTTTTCTTTTTTTAATAAAATAAGTAGATTTATGTTATATATATATATTATTTTTTATTTTAAGAATAAAATATATTTTTTATATAATAAAGAAATATTTATATTTAATATAATTAAAATATTTTATCAATTTTTATATAATATCTATTACTCCATTAAAATTTTGATCGTCTGCCACTAAAATAGTTAATTTTATATTATATATATATATATATATATATATATATATATATATATATATATTATGATTTTAATTAGATAAAAGTTTGATATCATAGAATATGATAGTTGTGTATTATCAAAGTTGTCAATTTATTAAGTGAATCTTGAATATGTATATGGCATAAATTTATATATAGTAATGTATATGACATAAAACTAATAAGTTACAGTGAATTTTTACGTTGAGGAACCAACATTATAAGAAAATTATTAATTATTGACGAATAATTATCAATAAATATTTTAAATTAATAATTAGTTATTAACAAGATTTATCGATACATGATATATATATTAATAAATATTTAAAATATATAAATATAAATATATATTTATATGAATATATATTTATTTGTATATAAATATAATTTATTTGTAAGTTATTATTTGTAAGTTATTATTTGAAAATCATAGTAACTTAGTGATTGAAATATCATCATTCAATTCTAACATAATTCCGTCAGTGACAATTCTCTTAATAAATAGTAATTAGTTAATAAATAATAATTTAAAATGTAATAAATAATAAAAATATAGGGGAGGATAACCTCTGTATAAATAATAAAAATAAAATAAAATATAATAAATAAATAATTATCGACAAATATTTCTGTCAAAAAATTTAATTTTTTTATAATAAATAATAAATAAATATAAAAAAAGTGAAAAGAGTATGAAAAATATTAAAAGTATAAATATACATGAAAGTTCTAATTTTAAGAAAGATAAACACCTTCTCAACTCCAAAAAATTTTCCCACTTGTAATGAATAAAATCTTAAATAAAATAATTAGTAACAATAAAAACTAAACAATTTTTTTAATTATATTAAATACAAATATTTGTCATAAGAGAAACATATTTAATTATTTTTAATTAACAAATCTTATCTATTTCTTATTGAAAACATAAATAAAAACTTTTTTTTGTCTAAAACATAAATAAATCAATGAATAAAATAATTATTTGATTTTATTTATATGTAGGCATGTGCAGCTTAGACTCCTATTTTTTACCCTCTTCAATATATTGATTGAACATCTACAAAAGCGTGCTTTAGAATTAGAAATATACGTTTTTCTTTCACTTCAATTGTACCCATCAAAGCATAAGAGAGGTATTAAAATATCTCACAATGGGATGAAACTAGTAAAAATAGTTACCATTTATAAGGAAGGAC